CGATTTCAGAACACCACTAATTTTTTATATTTTAGATCAAATCTGAAAAAAGACGAGCTGTCAGAATGTCTCTGTCCTCACGTTTCCCTCCAAATACAGTTTGCATGTAGAGCTCTGCGTATACTGAACTACTCCCATTGTGTTACTGTCAATGTTTGAATGCTACAAACCATTCCCTGTGCACTGATGGCTCTCTGTATGCCTCGTACATCAATTCAGGATGTGCATATGCATATGTGTGTGTCACTCTCTCTGAATGAACAATAACTAAAAATCCCCTTAACTCATGCTGCTCTCTCTGTCTGCCACCATCTGTCTCAACTCAATCTCCCAATTTCACTTCCAGATGCAGCGATGCCGGATTTGGGTGTCCATCTACAAGCTCTCTAATTCCCACTTGTCACTTTGTCAGATTCAATGCTGGGGTTTCTTGTCATAGCTGTCAGTGCACAGCAGCCTCATATCTCACTCATTTCTTCCACACGACAGGGGCGTATGTGCCTTGGAGATTAATGCGTTACACCTTCACTTTCTATATCATTTTTGCCTCGCCTCGAAGGTCAGAGGTGCAAAAGCAGAGCACAAGCAACGTTTGTGCCATTTTACCGCAGCAGAGCACTTGATGGCCAAAACGGAAATGCCAAAAGTTTGTGTAACATGTTCATTAAAGTTTAAAAGAAAGAAATTCTACTTTCAAATATATAATATATAGTTTATACATGCTCTGTGAGATTGAACTTTTATATCTCAAGAGTTTCACCTGAGTGGTGGTCGGCCTGTTATCGTAGTAAAAACACCTGAACTACTGTGCAAGTATAATTGACACCCACATGAGCAGTAATATAAAGTTTTAGCTCTCTGTTCATTCGTTTAAATAAAGACTGCTGTTGTAAGCCCAGCGTAAGTGGCCAGAGATGCTGCGGTCAAGTGGTCAGACTTTTTTTCTAGGACTGCGATGGCACCCAGAGCTTAAATTTATCTCAGGGATAGTCCAGCAGTTATTTTGGAGCATGCTTGTATTAGCGACAGCCAGGTTTGATAATATCAGTAAAATCATGACCATCATTATTTTACCTGATCGACTTCCAAAAGCAGACATTCCTCAACTAATGAGGAATGCCAAATATCTCATTTGCTATGATGTGAACACAAATTAAACTAAACAGCTGGAGGCTTTGGACATTAAATGACAGATTTTAAACATGAAGACGAAACAGTGAGAGATGTTAAAATGAGAAGTGTGCAGCTTAGAAACTGCTAGGGTCAGCATAAACACCAAGTTAATGCACAGCTTGTCAAGAACCCCAAATGCAAAAATGCACACGGCTAATCTAACTTGCAGCAAGAAAGCAAATACGCCAACTTTTGAGCATGCCAGTTACGGGCAGAGACTAGGGGTAGTATAATAATCAGTTTAGAAGCTTATAAGGACAAACTGAAACAGGATCAAATCATCTACTGACCTTATAATAATAAGCTGTTATAACAATAGCAGCAGTTAACCTTAAATTATGCTAGTTTTGGCTGTAATAAATGGCAGCATGAATCATACAGGACACATTTACCATGGAAACAGCCTCCTGTGCTACGTGCATGCAGCAGCATTAATGAACCTATCACAGTGAGAACGTGAATTAAAACCAGCCAACTGCAAAGCTGAATGAGAATTTTTGCATATTGACACATTGCCAGAGGATAACAGGCTGGTGGGAAATCAATACTGTCACCTTTGCTACAGATTCAGGAAGCCACTCACACTGCTTCCTCTTTCTGTTTGTTGTTTGCTGGTTCTAACATACAGCAGGACATCAGTTAGGAGGGTTCGTGGTGGATGCTTCAGCAGTGTTGGTCAAGTTACTTGAAAAAAGTAATCAGTAACTAATTACTGATTATTTCCCCCAAAAAGTAATCCTGCTACTTTACTGATTACTTATTTTCAAAAGTAATTAATTACTTAGTTACTTTTTAAAAACACGATTTAAAACCTGAATAGGTAATAAAGCCCTATTCTACTTTTTCTGCATAATCCATCATACAAAATGTAATCAAATGGAAAAGTCTCTTTTTTTTAAACTTGTTTTATCAGTTTTAATCTTTTAACTTTATTCATCAAGCAAAAATTAAATTATATGCACCATTCTCTGACTTGAAGAAATTAGTTTAACATTTAAACCTATTTTCTGCACATTCCAGCACATACAATAAAATATTTTTTGTGTTTACACTCACTCTTTCAAATAGATGCAAGTAAAACACAGCAGAAAATAAATAAAATCAAAGACTCAGCGGTCCTGTTGCTCTATTTTCACCTGCATAGCAAGCGGAGGTTTGCCCTGGTGCAGGTGTGCTGCAGCGGTCAGTTGAAGAATCCGCACACTCGGGGTTTGCTCGGAAGTTCAGGGGTTTTTTCGCTGTAAAAAGAAGTTTTCTTCCCACGCAGTGAACAGCGGACACTAATGTTTTTGTCACTTTTTATGGAATCAAACTCAAAGTAAGGTCAGTACTTCCACGCTTTAAACGCTGCACGCTCATGCTCTCTCCTGCACTCGATATATGATCCATTGTTGATCTGCACACAGCTGTTGTCACGAACGTCGCACTCGCTTACGTCATTGTCATGAGACACTCGCAAAAAAATCACGGTTTTAGTAATGCAGTAACGCAGCGTGCTTACAGGAAAGTAACAGTAATCTAATTACTTTTTTGCAATAGTAATCCCTTACTTTACTCGTTACTTGAAAAAAGTAATCAGATTACATCTCTGTTCACGAGCCACCAATTTTATATTCATGTTTGTCCACACTCATGTGAAACTTTAAAAGGAAATTAATTAAAAAAAAGAATCAAATAAAATGTTTTGCCAAGAAATATCTACTTCAGAAGATAAACTTGGGGATGTTGCTACAATGATTTGTAAAACTTGGATTATTGACACACATCTTCAACTTGCCAACCCAGTAGATCGATATAACAATCACCACTTCAAAGTGGGGATGCTAGATTCATAACACCAATTCAATACACATGGTCACAATCTCACCTCCTGTTTCTCAGATAAGATTCTGATTTATGTGAGGAGATGTGTTTTTGCAGATTCAGATGAACTCGAAGAAATTCCCTAAAGACCTGACCGAAAGTTTAAAAGGATGGGATTTTTGCACGTACAACTGATGGAATTTGCTTGCCCAATAGTTAAAAATATATCATTTAAACTAATTTAAATGATCATTTTAAGCCAATTAGTCTGAGCAAATGTTTCTAATATTCGTACCATTGTACAGCATGTTGACAGACCAAGCAGTTAATCAACTGAAAAAAAATATCTAAGACTCTTTAATTACAGGAAACCTTCTGAGCAGCACTCCATTACTAAATACTAAACATAAAGTTTAAAACTAATGTACAGCATGAGAAGAATGATTCAAATTCCTGCTTTCATAATTACACCAGGCAATTCATACTTCTTATTCCACAGAAGCAGGTTTTCAATTTCCAATATATGATTTCAGTTAAATGTAGTAAACATTTTAACTTGGCCATAAGTAGGTCATATTAAATTCTGCAGTAAATTGGGAGTTTAAATTGGTGCTATACAGATACATGGCTGGGGTTCAGCAATAAATAAATTCATGCCTTATCATATGAACCCTCACGCACTCACTGTCATTCGGTCTAATATCTGTTTGATATTGATCAGAGAAAGGGTGTTTAGATCCACCTATCTATCGTCTGGAGCTGGTATCACAAAGCTACAGAAAGCTAGGACTCAGATCAGCAAGTTTAGTCATTACTATCCAAAGTACAGTAGAGCTAGAAGAAAACAATGGATGGAGTATGTAAAACTTAGAAACACTCATATGGAAAAACACATTAGCACAACAGTGAGCAGTGTCGCATAAAATCTCAACAAACTGCAGCATAGCCTGGATGCTGTGGCTTTGTACCTTAGCAGGGCTCAGCTTCAGGATAGTTTCTGAACAAACAATAACAATAACAATTCATATACCACAAGTATAAGACATGATAACCTCCTTTTCTCAAGTGCCAGTCTTTTTTTTTTTTATTCTTTTTTAGTGTTTTATGAACATTTCTTAAATAAGATATAATGTAAAGGATTCTGAGCATTGGTTGCAAATGTCTACAAAGAGTTTAGAGTAATTCCAGTGGACAAATTGGCTGGTTGGAAAGTAAATGGACAGTTTTACGAGGGGAATTCTGAAAGGCCTGAAGCAGTATTTTAAAAGGAAAAGGCTTAGCATAAATAAGTTTTTTATATTTATTTCACCACTATGATAAAACCCCTTACTTTGCATTTGTGTAAGAATACATAGCTGTGAGTAGCTGCTACTCACAGCTAACTATTTCTATGTGAAATGTTATTTGTTTTACTGTTACCGTTTTTAATTACAAAACTTTAAAGTTTAAATCAACAAACTTATTTATGCATATTCTATGAATTTCTATTTAATTTATGATGTTTCAGGTAGAGACGACTCAAGTGTCTCATTCTGACCCACACCTGCGACACTAACAACAAATTCGATGTAAATATGAATTTACATCGAGAACACTTTATGTTACATTTCACTAGCTGGGACCACATCCTTGGTAACGATGGGCGATGAGGAAATGTGAACTGGTGCTGTGGTTTGGGGGAAGGCCTCGAAGGGGACTGGCAACGGCTCCCGGGCCGGGCAGATCCCCATGTACTAACGAGAAGTGAATGAAGGAAAGGAAGAGAGGAGAAGAGAGAGAAAATTGGGGGAAGGGTGGGGCATGAAAATGAGAACAGCAGGTATTGGTGAAGGGGGACTTTTATAGCCTGAGTCCGGAGGGGGCGTGAAGGAGGAGTGGTCCTGCTCCTGAAATTAAGATGATATCTCCACTAAGCAGATAAGCAGCATGTAACCCCTGAACTACAGGGTCTGTTACAGCAGTATCTATAGAGCTGATTTTGTCTGTTTACAGTAAAAGAAGCGTTAAAACAAAGAGTGTCATACGTTGTAGAGGGGGATGCTCTTCATGGGTTTGTACTGCTTCAGGGGGTCCATCTTGTACAGGTGGCGGTCAGTGATGAGCACAGCCCGGTTCTCCGACTTGTGGAAACGGTTGATCTGGGAAACACAAAGCTCCTCATTAGTGACACCACGGGATACAGTAGGTGCACACAAACACGGTGACATTTACACACCCTGCAGGGAAATGTTGTGAGCCATCAGCAGCTGGGTTTATGTCTTTGTACACACAGACACGTGTTGTGAGTGTGTGCACATGTGGTAAAGTCATGGATATCTGCTCTGAAAAGCTTTTACCTTGCGTACGTTGCAGGAGAACAGGACTCTCATGAATTTGTCTTTCCGCTGCAGATCGCTTGAGACCAGTGTGAACGATGCTGCTGTGTCAGGGCTGTCTCGCTTCTGTCAGACACACACCACAAGAAACTTATCAAAATATTCCAGTTTAACTCGAATTAATTCACAACCTGCCCAAGTTAAGATGAGCTTATAAATATCCTATTTATGCATGCATTTTTATTGGTTTAATGAATGTATTATCTCACAATGAAAATGTTTTCATTGCAGGAGTTTTAAATGAATAAATTGTTTGAATCATATATAATTAACCTAAAGACAGCCACAACATCCACTGACAAAAAACCCTGGCTTAATTGGGTACATTCCTTCAGTCCAGTATTCACACTCTATGGTAATTACTATTTACTGGGAAAACAGCTGAGCCAACATTACATTGTTAAGATGCTTATCTTCTTATGTCTTCTAATGTCCACCGGGTGTAATTGAGGTCTGTAAAATAAATGCGAGGTGTAAAACTGCTTCCCTTCTTTTTAGGCTTATTTTCCATTCATATCACACTGTTTGTTTCTTGTCTTGCTTGATACTTTCTTTAATAAATCTGCTCAAAGAATGAGACTAAACACTTTTCCTTTGTTTTTAACTGGAAGGTTTCTCTATAGAGTGCATATAAAAGTTAGACAAGGCCACCATATCATCACTTATTGGTTCGTGGTCTACAACTTTGAAACTTTGAAATGAAATAGGATGTCATGAGCGATGATCAGACTGATTAATGCCTGAATCCAAAAGAAAATAAACCAGGGTTTTAAGTTTGGATGCAGGCAGTATTATTAAACATTGTCTGATTGAAGAGTCAGCAAACAATGAATGAATTAAATCACATGTTTAATACCAGCAGGGTACTCTATTTTTCAGCATTTTATGCTACAAACTGCACAGCATTGAGGTTCAATAACTACGTCTGATCTGGATTTCAGCCACAGAGAAACAGCAGCTGATGCAAGCTGCAGGAGACAAAGCCTGCATGAACAAAGCTAGCATGGCCAATTTCACTCTGTAAAAGATGTCTTTTTCATGACTGGACTCATGCTACCCCTCCTACTCACCAGATAGTTTCCTTCCCAGGCCCGTTGCAGCCCCAAATCAGCCCTCTGGCCCTTCAGGGCCTCCAGGCCGGCTACCTTGGCCCTCACCTGCAGGGTCTCCTCTGGAGATAAGCCTTTGATCAGTGTCCATGCCCACCACCTGGAGATAAACGCATCCAAAAACACACACACAGAGCAAACTTAGAACGGAGGAAAATCGAACTTTCTATATAAAGGATGCTGCACAGAGCCTTGTTACTGTAGTCGGGTCAGTGGGGTGTTGCAGCAGGACTGCAGTCGACCCCGTCTTCACTGTACTGTATTTACTGACAGCCAACATAATTCTCTAGGAGGGTTATTTTCTCACTGTGTCCGGCTTCAAATAGAAAAAAGGCAAACAAACAGACAATGGGATGAAAGGAAGTGATGAGCCTTTGATGGAGAAAGAAAAATCAATGCCCAGTGTGAGCCCAAGGCAGAAGGAAACATGTGTAAGTTGCTTCAAAAAGACTCATCTGGATGTAAAATAACACTGGAGGGCATGTGTTGTCTCCTGTGGTTGGAGTCAGATTTACTTTTAGTTCAGCCAATTTAGGAAAGCGATTTTCTTCAAAAGAGAACAATTTAAAAACATTTTGTTTGAATAAGGTTCAGCTTCTGTTTCTGTTCTGAACGTATAATACAACAACAGTTGGTCATCATTAAAAGCTGATATTTGCTTCTACAAGTTTAACAGTTCATTTACTCTTTTAAACTTTAATTTCGTCCTGTGGTTTGTTTCTTTTCACAGAGAAAACAAAGAAAGCAAACTTAAAGTGAACCATAAGCCTTATAAGAATGTTCTGTCTGCCTGTTGGCTAGATGTGTTCGGGGCAGGAGCAACAAAAGTCAATACAGGAAGAAGGTGCTGTATTCAGAAATAGTGGATAACAAGGAGAATTTACTCCTAACATTCATATTTGTTTATGGTGAGAATGTGATCCCACCTCGATCTGCCACATGGACGCTGCAAGTCTGAGCTAAAGATCTCTCAATAGCCACGTATGCTTTGAATTCTGGGAGTACACAAACTCTAAAATAAATGTTAGGTGTGCAGATTAAACAAACTGTACCAACTAGCTATAAAATTAACCAAGCCCTCACCTATATCCTCTACTTATAAACCCAGCCCTAGACACATTTGGCCAACAAGCAGGTTAAATGCTCTCACATGGTTTACAAAGATGGATTCTGGTTTGCTTGTAGTTTTTTCTTTGCGAAAACAAAACAACAGGGAAAAGTTACAACTCTGCAGTCTAATCAATTATTCCAGACTAGCATAAACCAATTATAGGAGTAGAAACACACTTACATACATGATGGGCCTGTTTAAAAATCTATCTCGGCAGATGTTTTCTTGTGGAGTACCTGCTATGGATGCTCTTGAGCGCCTCTTCAAACCTGCGCAGAACCTTGGGGGGCGTGGGCCACTTCACGTGCCTGCCATGATCCTTCATGGATCGCACGTTTTTGAAGCGACGGTTGACCTCACGGATGTAAGACTTGACCTTGTAGCGTCGGTAGGCCTGCAGGATGGTGAGGGCAGCTCGCATGCGTCTGTACCGCATTCTGGCTATAGTTCCTCTCCACACCTGAAGACAAGGGTTCACATAAAGAATACATAGATATAATTTTATTGCAATTACAGTACAGATCTCCACATAGAAAGTACTTTTAAATGCTTTATGGCAATCCTCACTCTGGGTTTTATGGCTTATTATTGCCTCTCTTTCTGCTCATAATGCAAAATGATATTTTGATAACTTTGCAAGGAAACTCCATCATTTGGGATGACAGGCCAAGTCTGCCTTTCATAGAAAATCCAATCCATCTCTATAGTGAGCTAATAAAAACCTTCACATCGGATTTAAAACTACATACTGTATGTTACAAACATAGTCTGGCTGAAACTGCTGTAAAAATGAAGGAATTCTTCACAGTAGTGTAACAGTGGGCTGTTTTTATGGCTGAGTGGTGTGGATTCCTGTGTTTGGCTGAGAACAGTGTAAAGGTTTAACTAGCAATGGGCCAGACACTCCAGCATTGATTAACCAGTTGTAGCCAGAGCTTATCTGCAGAGTACTAGTTAAAATGTTCAATACAGCAGCATTTTTGTAACCATGGTTTAAAGGAGCAATGGAATAGGGACAAAATGAACTTCTACATAAACAAGAACCTGAATTCAGGATGCGTGGCTGTAGCTGCACATTTTAAAGTGATAAACTGTTTATGGAGACTACGGCGCAAACACTGAAATTACTCTGCATTACCAACCACACTTTAAGCCACACCTTTTCACACTGTTTTTCGAATATGTAAACTAAACCAACAAATGTAAAGTAATACTGTGATGTATTTTGATTTATTTCTGTATAGTGTGAGTGCAATCCCAAAAGTAAAGTTTCCAAAGCGGTGGGGATGTAGAGAAACTGTTCATACGGCTGTTCGTCACACTGTTGTGATTGGTGCTTCCTCCACTCTCAAACAAGCATGCTCGGCTTCACTTGGATGCTTGTTTGGGCTTGGCAGACGTTGAAAATGGAGCTCCCGTTTTCAAGGGCGAAATGTGCGCAGTTATTCGATTTTTGAACGCAAAAGGCGTTAAACTGTTTTGTAAGTGGTGTAGAGAGTTTACAGCAGTACGAAGAGGTAAAAGATGAGGTTCAACGCTTCCTGAAGGACATGGCGGCGAGCTGGTACGACATGGGCATTGTAAAACTGGAACAGCGCCTACAAATATGCATCAACTGACATGATGATTATGTAGAAAAAGAAATAATTCAACCTTTAAAATGATGTAAATATTATAGAAAATAAACAGTTTTTGCATTTCTAAAAAAAAAAATAGGAGATCTTACTTTTGGGATTGCCCTCATATATCCAGGTTCCTCCAGGTTTTTCCTAAATGACTTTTTACTGACTGTATACTGGTTATATATTTAAAATAAACTAAAACAAACAAACAAACCTATGACTGACAGTAGTGTATATACTCTATACTCTGTCAAATGACAAATCAAACTGAACTATACTTTAAATCAGCATTGGTTTTCTTATAGTGTAGTACTACACAGTACAAAGAGACTCAGACAGCAGTGATGTTGCTTCACCAGAACCACAGGAACAAAACATTTTTAAATTGTGGAGCAGAAACAAGCAATTGTGTCAAAAATGTACCTGAAACCAATATTAATAATTTAATAACAATAAAGTAAAATGAAAAACAAGCAGGGAACTGTCAGAAAGAATAAGGAAAATAGCCCCCCCGCCTTTTCGTTCAGCAGACCTGCAGTTTCACTGCAGTTACTTTAAACCCTCCTGTATCAGAGACCACATCAGGGATCCTGCTGTACCCTCAGACAAACACTGACACGCGTTATCAATAATTTAAAACACTGTCCAAAGCTTCAACTTCGAATGACCTAAAATGGCCTTCATGTGAAGAAACAACTTCCAACATTTTGCCCTTTTATGGACTGCAGCAGGTTGCCTAGCTCATGAATCCATGATAAAAATGAACCGTAAACACGTGCAACCCACTGCACTTAAATATGAATCATGAGGTCTTCATAGCAGCATTAAATTCACTTAAATACCGCTATAGTAGCTAATATATAAGCACATATTTCAAAGTGTCAAGCACCATGTTTTTAAATTAATAATTTTGTTGTGACTCACCATTACAACTCATTAAATCTCTCATTTGTTATACATTTCTTACTGCAATGTTTAAACAGCCTTTATTCAGTCTAAAGAAGCTAAAATAAGGACCTGCCTGTAACCAAACATAGACTGAGTGGCTATTAGACACTCGAGAACATGAATAATAGATGTAAGTGGGGCCCCAGAGAACCATAACTCTAAACTCGGCCTCACTAAAATCGCCACCATATGTCTTCCTTTCGCTGTATTCCCTCCCTCTTATAGACACATACACAGGCATGCATGAAGCCTCTCAGTTTATTCCAGATTTAAGTGGCTACATTGTGTCTAAATAATCTTTCATCGCCAGTAATCCAGTGTCACAGACCTACAAATTTAAGGCAACACTGCAGACTGCACTGGAGGCTCTCTAGCAGATATCATCTGAGTGTAATGCGCAGTAATCATAGATATCATGAATATTTAATGGATTCAAAGTGTGGGGGAGGCCGGTGGCAAAGAAAAGGATTTGTTGCATTTGCATATTAAAACTGTGGAGGTGGTAGTTTTTACCTGATGAGACTAACAAATGCCAGAGAGGAAGATAAGTCATGCACTGCTGGACTGCAGCAGAATAATTAACCGCACCAGCTGAAAATTGTTTTATATCTAGTGAAACATTTTCACTTTTTAACTAAAGCATGTAGAGAATGGTCTAGCTTAGAGTGCTGACTTAACCACGTCATTACTTACAAAGTGGAAAGAGGGTAGTTATGAGCAGAAGCTGAATCACATTTGGATCAATGAGGGAAAGCTAGCATGTTATGTAATGACCACAGTGGCTTGATCACACTCTCTTTGTTTAAAAAAAAGGAGGGTTTAATTAGTATTTTTAATCCTCCAAAGTTTATGCAGTTGTACATTATGCCCATTAAGCTGAGATCAGCCGTAGTTAGCTAGAAAAAACAGAATAATCAGCTCCCCAGATGTTACTGTAAATGATGTATGTTCAAGTATACTGAGCTGGTTCCTGTCCACAGTAGATCTGATTCTTTATATGGCTGTGTTAATTATTACAGTGTAGCTTTGATAAATGCCATGCCCCATATCAAAGCTATTCTTAGTCCAAACTATTGTGATGCAAAGTTTGTAGGTTTTATGTATCTGCTGTTGAAATTCAAATTTCCATCCACAGATGTCGTTAAAGAGAAACACAACATCGTCTTAAAGCTGCAAAACTGGATTACTTTTCCAAAACAGCTCAAGAAAATAGATCCAAAAAGGGGGGGTGGGGTGGGGGGATAGCAGTCTTTATCTTTTGACACTTGTGTTACATAAACGTCAGACGATAAGAGCAAACAGTTTTCCTCTATTGCTGTGTCATTTTACGGCTTAAAACCGTATCCTCTGTTTTCTCCATGCTGCACTGTCTTTAATACATAATGCATGAGAGTGAGAAAAGGAGGGCAGCTACATAGTCATCACTAATCGACCCCTGAGAGGAATCGCCCACGTGCTCGGGGTGACGGTGGTGGGAGGAATGAATGGGCTTCAGCGACGGCGGCTTCCTCGCGTCTCTGTGAATGAGGTTAACAGTTGCTTTCGTCTGAATTCTGAAGGGGCTCAGAGTGTTACGGTGAATTAGGCAAAGTTTCAGGAGTGGGCACTGGGTCAGACATTACTGTCAAAACGTCCCTGGTGTGAATGCAAACCAAACTATGTGCATTTAAATCAGAATTACCACCTGACGACAATATCTTACCCTCTTTATATAATGTTTATTTCTTCACCAACAAGAGGCTAGAAAACGGCTTTTCATGTTGAAACTCATTTTTCATGGATGTCAGGATTGGCTCATTTCCACTTCAGTTGTGTGCTGCTTTTTGACTATTGCAAAGATTTAATTTGAACAAAAGCAATTATTAATTCATTTACAACTTTTGTTAGAACTACATTTGCTTGTACTGGTTTGTCTTTATGTGAGATGAGGTTTGCCTTGTCGTGCATAGCAAAACTGAAAAATAAATACTGAATAGCTACACAGTATCCTCCGCTGTAATTATGTTTAGACTTTATAATAGCAGTCAACAGCTTAAAACATCATCTTTATATTCTTTGTTTACTGTCATCTGTAGCTGCTGTATGGCAAGACTTCTTATTTATGTTGTAATCTATTAGTGCATGATTATAATTACAGTTCAACATTATATTAAATACTAATTCACTCTAGATAACATTAGTCAAGAGAATTCTGTTGTTACCATCTGCAATAATTCATTTATTGCATTATGGCTCTGTTCCAGGACCATCGACCTAGTCTATGGAAAGGGGCAATGAGGGATTTATGGTGCCATGGGTTTGCAACCTACATAGATGTTTGTGTGCAGTTGGCTGAAATGTGTGTCGAAACAGGAAAGGAAAGAGTGCACAGTTCACCATGTAGAAGGAAGAGCTTAGTCAGACCTATAAGTGGAGACTTAACATCGTTTTTAACACTTTAGCTCTTTGTATAAAACTTAGATTTTCTCTGCAGCTAGCTGGAGCAACAGTAGCACAGGAGTAGCTCACAGACAGACTGTTTATTTGGTCTACTAAACTGTCACCCTGGTGACAGAAAACAGCCACAACCACCTTCAAAGCCATGCATAGGCTCTCCACACGCCTTATTTAAGCCCCAAGGTTGTGAAAACAACAGAAGTGGGCCATTACTGTCGCTATTCTCCTCCACCTCTTGAGTTGTGTAACCTGTGTCACTAGAGCCACAACCAGATTAAAGGCATGAGTGTATGATTGTGTTGTTTCTTTAACCTCCATTTTAATGATCTATCAAATCAGATGCTCACTGATAAAAGGAGATGTTAGAACAGTTTAAAAAGATGAGACTTTCTAAATGACCAGTGCAGTTGGTATACTGAGCTCTTAAGGCGGACAGCATGAAAAGGATCATATG